TTTATATTTATTGCTTATATATGCATTTGCGGACAGCAGACAACCTTTTCAACCTAAGTTCATAGGACATGTAATAGTTATTTGTCATATATATATATATATATATATATATATATATATATATATATATATGACAAATAACTATTGCATGTCCATTTTTGGACGTTCTTGGAGTCTAGTAAATATAGATTTACTAAATAAAATACTGTTTATTATAAAATAGAGCATTTACTTAAATATTTGTATCTATATAAATAACGTATAACAATAAAATATATTAAAATAATTGTCGGACTTAATCCATTTCATAATCGGAGAGCCAAGTTCGAATTCTAGTCGCGTTTGTTCCATTCACTTACGTGCAAATACCTTTGGGAATCTTATGGCACTATTTGTGCTCCCCGCAGCTATGGATTAAATATCAGGACTGGGTTATTAGGTGGCAACGGGTCTAAGAGAAGAACAATTATGAATTCAAAACCTAAAGTGGTTTTAGCATGGGGATTCTCTCTCTCTCTCTCTCTCTCTCTATATATATATATATATATATATATATATATATGGTGCGATGGATGGATGAATTGTCTAAATTACGCAAAAATGAAACTAACACTGACATCTCATTTTAACATATATTTACCAAAATTACATAAAAATATCTTGAAATACTAAATACTAAATTTATTCAATAAAATCGCCATTGCCTTCAACCATGGCCTCCAGACGACTTCGGAATCTCCTGCAACTCTTCTTGACGGTCTCCTTGATTAAGTTGATGAATTATGCCATAATCCTTGACTTCGATTCATTTTTGGTGTTATAAGGACTTTTGTTGGTCTCTCACTCAACTGTACCCCACTGTGTCCTTCTGTATGTGTGGCTCTTTACAGATCCCTGTTGCAAGGTACTTGATGTAGGCGTCTGTGTTGAGTCTGAGGCCCTGTAGGAAGATGAATGGAGGCATAACGTCGTCATCACTAGTGGTCGCGCCAATAACCTTCGTAATCACCATTAGACTCATCCAACTCTTTCCTCTACAGTGTCCTCAGATTGACACCCAAACACACTGAAATGTTCGAATTGCAGTTTTGAAGTGTTGTAGAGCTCCCTCATTTTTTTCTACAAAGCCCTGTTCCACTATCCATTTACTCAAGCTCAATATGCGTTATTTTCATGTCTCGTGCGTATCTGACTTTCCAAGCACCCCTCCTCATGCACCCCCAGAAACATCAACTGTCTCTTCCTGATGTTAAGTATCAGATTCCTTTTTGTTTCCATTTTCTCCAAAACTTCGTCGGTCCATCGTGTCTTTGACGTCAGTCTGTAAAACCAGATTTCCGTTGCTTCAAGTCTCTTCTTTCATCTTTGAGAAGATTGTCCGGCACTCCCTAGGAGAAATAACAGAAACAGAAAATTCATTAAGAGCTACAATGGACAGGAAGTTGTGGAGAGCCATGAGGTGGCCCGGTTCAAAGAGGAAGAACGTTTTCTTTAGAATTGGTTGCTTCTGTCTGAACATAGATTAAGCTTAAAACCACATCACGTTGAAACACCGGTTCGCGTACGATCACCGTAGTTAAGCAACGTTGAGCCTGATCAGCAGATGGGTGACCGCTGTTTACTTGGATATGCGGATGGTAGAGTAGATAATGGATCGGAATTGTTAATCGGAGAACCGAGTTCCAATTCCAGTTGGATATTTTATATTCACTTACGCACAAAATACACTTGGAAAATGTATGAATCCACCTGTTCTCTCCCAGCTATGGGTTAAATAATAATTTAGAAAAATATAACAAACTATAATTTAATAAGTGAATTAATAAGGCTAAGTTATTATTATTTTTAAAAAGAATCTTGCAATCTAAAAATATTTTCTGGCTTTAAATAACCTGCAAAGGGTTGATAACCCGTAGAACACAAATCAATCAATCAATCGAAAACAGATTAGGTATACAGGCATGTCTTTTATATTTATTTACATTTCCGGGTATATAAATGTATAGATGCTACCATGGTCACGAGGTAGAGGATCAGTTTATATATTGATCCCCCACTTTATATTCATATTATAATTTCTTCATTGTTTGTGAAATTGTGATTAGCTATCAATATAGCTCATATGAAATAATCTCAGGAGAGAGAGGGGGAAAGAGAAAAGAGTGAGAGGATAAAGAAGAAAAGAAAGAAGAACAAAAGAGCGAACGAGAGAGAGAGAGAGAAAGAGAGAGAGAGAGGGAGAGGGAGAGAGAGGGAGAGAGAGAGAGAGATAGAGGGAGAAAACTGATGAGAATAAAGAGAATAAAGAAAGCAAGGACGAATAAATAGAGTAAAAAAGATTGACATGAAAAAAAAAAAGAAAAGAAACTATGTTCAAAATGGCGCATTCAGTGATACCAAGACTCATTGCACACGGAAACATTAAAGGGGACTGTAGTATTTCGTTGATGTTATAAAGATTACCATTTCATTTTCAACCTCCGTTTTCGCCATTCCTCGTACACAACAGAAAGAGAAAAAAGAAAAAAAAAGAAAGAGAAAGAGAAAAAAAATAGAAAAAAAGAAAGTGCTATATACGGTACCTATGAACACTAATGAGTAGGTCCAGTCGTCATAAATACGTTGGCCACTATTGTTAGTGGGGGTAATATGCTAAGTAGTCCATTACTAGCAGTGGTTTACCTATTTTACGCCGCTGGCGAGTATTGTATTTTGTTGATGTTATAAAGATTACCATTTCATTTCCAACCTCCGTTTTGATTATTCCTCATTCAGTGACCCATTCTAGGTTGCCACAGTATGACATACGAAAATACTTAGAAACAAGTCTGTTGTACTGATTGAGAATGAGTTATTTTTAAGTTAGAACAAATTCGATATGAGAAAGAAAAAAGAAAAGAAAAGGACTCTGTGAATTTGACCCGATCAAGGTTAAAAATAAAAGAAATAATTAAGTAAAAAATAGAAAGAAAATGAAAATTGTCGAGTGCTACATTTGGAAGCAATGGAGCGGAGGGAAGTTTGAATGAAAACAATAATTACATTTCAACTTTATTACATTTCAATTTTCTCTGCCATCCAACTAATTAAACGAACATTGTAAAAAGCCCGCCAATGCTTAACTGACTGCATACCGACAGGGCATGACGTCATGTAAAAATGACTAAATACTTTCCTTGGTAGGTTAGATTATTGCCAGTTGACGCTTAAGTGTAGCTTAGAGTGCACATGGAAAGTTTCATGACTGGAGCAAGATTAGTATATATATATATATATATATATATATATATATATAAGTGCTCCTTTAATAATATAAACAAACGAAATCAGACTTCACTATCAAAATATTTTTGGCACCTGAAGGAAACAAATAAGACACCAAAAGTTAAATGGAAAATTATTGACAAGGCTAGAATATGTAAACTTGGGATGACCCATGCCTTTGTGCCTCCATGAAAAAAATTGCACATTATTAAACTTCTAAATAATAATCTATTAAATAATAGACACGAGTTAACGGTTTTTTGTAGGCATCATCAGATTTTTGGTTTGAATTATTAGATAAAAAAAATTTATATAACTTGTTTAACAAATAGCCCAATCATCAGATTCATAGTAGGAATAATTAACTACAAACATGCATACAACATAACACACTTCATAATCCATAGCCTAAATTAGTAGTTTAAATACCTTACATATAAGATAAGCCTTTATGAAGTCAAAAAAAAAACAAACGTTATTTTTTTTTTTTTTTTTTTTATATGCACAATCCCTTTCATAATAAAATAAAATAAAATAAAATAAATAAATAAATCTCCATAGACAAGCAAACTAGACGATGGCTAATACATCTTCCGTTTCATTTTTAGACACCCCACCTTTCCCCGACTTGACACCTTGAAAGTATCTCTATACCGCTACTTATTATAAACACCCCACACTCGCCTACCCAATTTAGACAATTCACCTAGCTGTTACCATGGGGATTTTGATTTCAATTTTAAAACAAGTAAATTTCAGATATACGTTATTCAAACAAAAAATTTCGCTTGAAGATGGAACGGGCCATTTTAATTTCAACTCAATTTAATTTAAAGGATTATATTGAAGTTTTCGGCTCTAGTTTTGAAACATGAGACCTCTTATGTAGCGATTTGGAATCATATTTTAAATAAATAATTATATATATATATATATATATATATATATAAAGAAGAAATATAGTTTTAAGATGTGCTATATTTACGGGATAACGTACTCAATATCAGAGATATATATTAATACATGTCTCATGAAATAATTTAGACAAGTTTTGTCTACTTATTTTTAATAGGATCCTCTCCTAATCACTGACAAGTTTCTTAGTATCCTTATTAAACGAAGAAAGAAAATTACCCTGTTGATGCATATTCATTTTATTTCGAGTACTTTCGACTTTAGCACAGTGTCGTCATCAGTGCCTTGTTTTTTTCTAAGACAAAAAATTGTCGTGTTCATCAGTTTTTTCAGGCGAAATTGTCTTAGAAAACTGATGAACACAACAATATTTTGTCAGAAATAAACAAACTAATGATGAAATTGTGCTAATGTCGAAATTACTAGGAACCTTATAACTTTATCAAATTCCAACGACAAAGTGTATGAGTTTAATATTTTTTATTGAATGTTTCTAAAAGTTTATATTGGGATTGAAAATATGGATAATCTGTCCGAAATTCATGTTTGTTTTGTTGTTTCTGTTTAAGTAATTTCGACAATCTCAGTCATTATCAAGAATCATGTGATGTTCTTTTGGCAGGCAAGGTTCCGTTATCTACAACCGTGTATTTTATAGCGAGTTGAACGTTTGAATTAGTGCAATGTAAAGTTAAGTGTAACGGTTAACGGGAGCGACACCGCAGCAGATTCTGGTCAATTGATTTCCCAACGTTTTATCCTGGCTTAAGGCAATCGGATTTCTATCCACACTGATGAGCTGTGAGACAGCGAAACAGTCCGTCTGTGGATGGCAATATATACGCTCACGGAAAATTTAATTCCTGTCGAGCACTCTGTGGAGAAAGCGCAAATTTGTAAACAATGACAACTACTGCTAATACTGCTAATATATATATATATATATATATATATATATATATATATAGTACAGTATTAGCAGTAGTTGTCATTGTTTACAAATTCGAGCTTATATATATATATATATATATATATATATATATGTAATAAAAGCCCAAATCAACTCATACGGGGAATACGCGCTGTAATAATATATATATTGAACTCTTTTTGTGGATCAGTTTTAATATTTGATTACTACAGTCCACTTGGTTTATATACCAATAGATTTATTACATTTACTATATATATATAAAATTGAAGTTTATAAGCAGTAAATTCGACCTTGCCAACCGAACGATCCTTTGTGACCGAGAGGTAAGGCACGTCAAGCTATATGACGGTTCCGTATAAGATACAGGTTCGAATCCTGTCGAAGGACGAATATTTTCTATGAAAATTTCTCGGACATTCAGGCTGGTAAATGTTATTTAATACTGTTTATTATAAACAGAGCATTTACTTAAATACTTGTATCTATAAAAAGAACGTTAAACATAAAAATATCTTTATATATAGGAATCACTCAATTAATAGGCACTCGTTTAGTGTGTTTCCGATTCGTGCTCTGAATTTGTTTTATAGCAAAATTCGATTAGTGCATACATTGATCAGTGCACAAGGAGTCATCATTGGCGGCCACAATCTTAACAGCATAAGATATGCAGATGACATAGTGCTGATAGCAGACACGGAAAGGAAAATACAAATCTCCTACAGAAGGTAGCAAAAGAAAGCGTGAAGAAGGGACTAAGCATAAACTACAAGACGACGAATCGCATAGTCATCAGCAAAATGATGAGCCTAAAATGATATTTACAGGTCGGGAAAACTAAAATCAAGCAGGTACAGAAATTAAATATCTGGGGAGTATTTTAACAGAAGACGGAAAGTGTGACACTGAGATCTGGAGACATATTGACCAAAAAAGCATTCAAAAAAAGCATATATATATATATATATATATATATATATATATATATATATAAAAAAGATAATATATATATATATATATATATATATATATATATATATATATATATCAGATTAATGTAAACGTTTGTCACTCAACTGATTAATGTTATCATCAGCATCCCGAAAACAGACTTTCGTAGACGGACCTGTACATCTATTCTTCATGGGGTATCAGCAATTTACTGCTTATATTTATTACATTTTTTCTTTCATGTACATTTAACAGAGGTGTAAGCTTTCTGCTGTATTCTCTGTGTTCGTGTGTGCCCTTGTGCGCGTGCGGTCATGAGTCCGTCTGTGCGAATGTGCGTTCGCTCGTGTGCGCCCATCGGCGCGGATGTGCGTACGGGTAAGGAGCCGTGATAATTTTGCCCTTTGATTTTGGATTTTTTTCATTTTATACTCGCACATTTAGCCTTTTATACCTTCTTTTTTCTTTTTCATTTTTTTTTCCTACTGTTGATTATTGTGTCTGGGTTTGTTCCGACTCTAGATATGTGGACGATTTTAATTTGATTTCGATTTTTTTTAGGAAAGTTGTATTTCGTCTTTTTACGTTTTTTTACATAAATAATTGATATTAATGCTTAAAAGATGATACACACACACACACACACACACACACATATGATATTAATTATATTAATGCTTGAATGTTAAATATTTGTATATATACATGCACATATATACATACACACATGCACATACATGCACACATACACATATATTTATACATCTTCACTGAGCACTGAGCTATTATTTCGTTTTTTAATTACGTTTGGTGGTATTATTAGTGTCAGTTGTAGAACGTTAGATTTATAATGAAATTTATTTATTATCGTTAGAATTTAACTGCATTTGTCTGTATACATACGCTTATGCATACGCACACGTGCGAATCTATTCACGCAAGTATATAGGTATAAGTATTCGTGTATATGTACACATAAACGTACATACACGTTTACATGTACACTTATGTACATTGTTAATAATATACTAGGGAATAAATGATAAGGTTATTTTTAAAATATAAGAATTATTATTATCATTATTATATATATATATATATATATATATATATATATATATATATATATATATATATATATATTAGGTTGACATGCAAAATAATGACGTAATAATGTCGTTTTTGATGTTAAAATTACGTCAAAAACGACGTTATTACG